GGTATACACATACATTTAAACATTATGATTACGTTCTGAAAGTTTCATTACGATCATACGTCTAGAAATTTAATTATTCAACAAAAAAATTCTCATAATATTGCCCACACTGCAGCGCATAATATTGCTGTTTTGAACATATGAAGACATACATACATATGTATGTATATATGTATAGGCATTGGTACAAAACTTACAAAATGATGTTAAATCGATATTAAATACATTTAGAGCTTCATAACAAGCTTTGTCCAACGGGGTTTAGTAGATCTATACTCATTTCATTTACAGCACCGGACAGAGCTTACGAGAGAATTGTCGTCAAGCATCGATGAGTTAGGGAGTCCGAGTTACTTGAAATGACGTATGGGCAATTAGAAATCATCGAGATGGGAAGGGAAGAGAAAGCCACCCCTAAGACATTCGGATCTCGGAACATTTGGTAGATTGAAAACATTTTGTCACAGATGATCAAACACACCGGGGCAAACAAAAATAGTTAATTTGTTGGTCATTTGTTATTTGCCATTAAATCTAATTGAGGAGCGTAATTCAGTCCATGAAGGATTTGTTGTTCGCCTTTCAATTGTTTTTGTTTATTCTCCGATCAATAAATAAGGCTGACATATGTCCCTTTACCCAATGTAAGTAGCAATGTCAAACGCAAAGCCAAACCCAAACCCAGCCCCAGCCCCAGCCTCAGCCTCAGCCAAAGCAACATTTTTGAAGGGAAACTACGTATGCCATGAGTAGAGGTCTTTATTGTGTTTTGTTGGTAATTGACAAATGTGCTGCAAAGATAAGCAAAAGCAATCAACGAAATGATTTTGCAAATGCCACAGGATTTGCATCTTCGTGACCTGAAGTAGCCGAATATGCGCATTCAGAATGGAAATTCAGGGTATATATGATTTCTCAAAATCTCTCTCAGGGTATATATGATTTCCCAAAATCTCTCTCGTCATTTGATACGACCTTACATATGGTCTGTAAGAGGTGCAACGGAAATACGTACCTATGACGTCCCCGTCATAGATTTCGTCGTCATATAATAATTATTGATTGCTACCTCGTGCATTTCAGAGTTATATCCAGGCGATCTGTCCCACCCGAACTCACATGAGAGCACATCGGACGGCAACTCCGATCACAATTCATCCGGCGATGAAGATTCCCAAATGCGCCTGCGACTGAAGCGCAAATTGCAGCGCAATCGAACTTCCTTCACCAACGATCAAATTGACAGCTTGGAGAAAGGTAAGGCATTCAATATCCATACACGTACTTCGACTAATATATTCCAAAAATATAAATATTCCGCAATAGAATTTGAACGGACGCATTATCCGGATGTATTCGCGCGGGAGAGGCTTGCGGAAAAAATTGGTTTGCCAGAGGCACGTATTCAGGTTTGTCTTTCCGTTTTGTTTAATTCTTTTCATTTAAGCTGCGTTTTGACTACGTTCTTAGTTCTTCAGTTCTTTCTTTTGTCGTTTTATTCATATCTTTATAGATTCAATTTTAAAGTGCATTTGGCTTATTTATTTCGGCCCTTTATTCTTACATTTAATCTATCCTCAAATGTCCCTCCCCTCATCCCCGTCGCAAAAGCTTACAGGCAGGATAGCTCCATAGTCTGAAATCTCGAGTAACAACATTAAGAAGGGGACTACAAGGTTGTGTTGTGTTTTAGATAAACGATTGTCCGAAATGATCGCCCATGGATTTTCACCACGAGCGACGAACGACGAGCCATCAAAGGGAAGGAAAGCGAACCCTCAACTCGATTCATTTGACTCACTCGATGCACCCTTCAAATTAATTGTTATTAATGTTTATATGTATGTATATATATATATACATACATATATATATATATATATATATTCGCCTCTCGCGATATTATTATTATTTGTGTAACTTAATAAAAACAATTTGACTGTGAAAGCACTCGAGAATACTTGTGATTCTATAAGCAAACTGCTTTCAAGTGTTTTTTCGAGCAGCACAAAAATCTGATGGGAGAGCCGCAACTCGCGCGAAAAATAATAAATGTCACGGCTAAAAATGCGAAGGCAAATATAAAAAATATATTTATATTGCCAACCCATGCCATGCACAGCTATAATTACACACGCAGTCTCAGTCAGATCCAGGGCTAGACCAGAGTCAGAGTCAGAGTCACCCCTTTTGTCGCCCAGCTCAGCCCGAAGGGTCTCGGTCGACGCACTCGACTGATGCGATAAGGCTTAAACTTCATTACATGTCAAAATTGGGTATGTTTGTATGTTATTGTACAGATACACCCTTGCATATGCGTAGAGAGTGAGAGAGGGTATTACGGTTCTGGTATCGATTGTGTGTCACAGTGAAGCCGAATGAAACTGTCTTGAGCCTCGTTCAAACTCCGCTTCATTGCTAAGCATATATCACTATATACGCTTTCTGAGATAGAAGAAGATCGATGCGCCTCCATCACACCTAACATAGATAGAGATATGCAATTGCATTTCCCTCAGAAGTAGAACCCAGAGAAGAAGTAGAACTCCGCTTAAATGGGATATAGAGAGATAGGGGAGTGAGTTGGACTTTGCTGTAATTGTATTGGCATCGCTCCATCAAATCGGTATAAATAACTGTACATATTAATATGAAAGGGTATTCGATCATCGGTACCAGCTGTTGTTTGCTGCCGGCTGTCTGCCTTCAGCATGCTGGATTTTCTTATTGTTGCACTAGGTAAATCGGAATGAAGCGAATTGCATTTTCAAGCATTTATAAATGTCACAACGCTATTTTATTATGTGAAAATTCAGAAGTCGAAACAAGTGCTGGCATAAAGCTTCGATGACCAAGTACTTTGCACTCTATTATGTTCCCCTCCACTGCGACAATAATTCAGCGATTCGATCTGTGCATACCCTAGCGAAAGGTTTTATCCCCTTATTCACGGGTGATTTCAACAAAGATGACGTTTCAGCTCTACAACTGACTAGCTGCGAAAATATGGTAATTTCCAACTACTCGCTCACAAATTAAAAAGTAAGAACGTTACAGTCGGGCGTTTCATCTCATAAGCAATTTAGTAGCTAAGTTTAGCTCTACTACTGTAGAAAGTTCAGCTTTTATTGATTTGCCACGCCCCTAATGGGCGTAGACATTTGTGGTCAGCTTATAGAACAAGCTAACGGTAACCTAGCTGCAAAATTAGGATGCTTACGTTCAAAAAATGACAAAATCACAGGGTATTTTTTATATGCCACGCCCCTAATAATTATTTGGGGAATCAATAGAGGAGGTTAGTGGTAACTTAACTATCCAAATTTGACGCTTCTTTAGGAAATATAAACTTTTGCGGTTTCCCACGCCCCCTTTGGGTGAAGATGAATCCATCATAGCTAGTTGGACTTAAGAGGTCAGCCTGCGTATATATACCAAAATTCTCTAGCATTGATAGTATAATTTTCCACGCCCTTAGTAGTCGGAGATATATAATTTTTCAACCCATCTTTAAAGAATGGAAGCATTAGCTCAGTATATCACGCGCATATCGAGTTTTTCTCTAAAAATTGATAGCTACTCCCGATATTTTATTATCGATTAAAAACCTTATCGAAAGCTAACTATAGACTTCTTGTGCTAATATCGCTGTCTTTCAAGCCTACCTCACACACTCGACTTCCCCTTCCCATTGCCCACTTTCAATTATTCCCCTGCAACTTGATTCAACAATAATTCAAGAAACTTATATTTCTCGCATAATTTAGGTTTGGTTCTCGAATCGACGCGCCAAGTGGCGACGTGAAGAGAAGCTGCGCACCCAACGGCACTCGGTGGACAATGTGGCTGGCGGAGCTGTGAACAACGGTCGCGCAAGTTCCAATAACCTCACCACTGGCAGCTCAGCGCCTCCCAATGGCACTGCGGCAAGCAGTTCGACGCCCAACCTTGGCAGCTCGGCCGTATCGGACGGGGCAACCGTGGCCTCCGCACATGCAACAGGCAATAGCAACAACAACAACAACAACAGCAGTCTAGCCGAAGCTTCCAGTGGGCCAACAGTAAATATTCAATATAAGTTCACATCTTAACCTATTGCCTCACTGATGAATATTCCCCTATGATCGACCATAGAGGAATCCTTTCTGTGGCTTGGCTTTCCATCTACAACTCAGCGTCCAGATTCGCACCTCCACTGTATACTTGAGGTGAAGCGCCTCATTGGTCATATTGCGCTCCTGGCTCTATTACTGATCACAAGCAACTTGAAAAAAACTGAAAAATACATGTTACATGTTAAGCTTCTTAAAAACAAGGAGCCATGCGAGCGAGTAAGCAAAAATAAGCTAGTCAATCAAAATGAGCTGGTGAACCAAAATGAGTTAGTGAATAACATTGAGCTAGTGAGTCAAAATGAGCCATATTGAAGAAACAAGCTCAGCGGCTCAGTTCCACTGCACTCCACTCCACTCAACTCCTGCTCAGAGGAGCAAAAGATTAATATTCGACCCTTTTATCGTATGCAATTGCTGCGAGTCTCACATCAGCGGACGGGAGCTTCCACTCCGCCTGATGAAACTCTTGTCTAGCAAGCTACTCGATCCCTCGCCCATTCTAGTCGGGTCCCGCTCACTCCCGACTAGAGTGTTAGAACACCCTCAGTTTTCTTTATTCCTCGTTCCTTATTCCACGTTTTTGGCTTCATCTCCCATTCTAACCTTAAAAAATTATATTCTCATTTGCAGATTCACGGCGGCGAGGCCAGCAGCAATGCCCACAGCAACTCCGACAGCCCACCTTTGCAAGCTGTAGCACCTCGTCTACCCTTAAACACCGGTTTCAACACAATGTACTCATCCATCCCGCAACCCATCGCAACTATGGCTGAGAACTACAAGTAATTCTAGCATTTTATTAAGATCTCTATTACGCATGCCCAGGAAGCCGGGGAAGAGAGCAACTCAAGCAAACTCACCTTTAGTGCATGCGGCTTCTTGGCTTTCATTTCATATTTTCATGTGGATATTATGGTTTTGCTTCATGGAGCGTGTGTGTGCATCGTTGGCAAGTTTCGTTGATGTGATAGAGACGTTAATTCTAGCATAGCCAAGGGACAGGCACTCCCTACTCATATTATAGAAATGTACATATATTGTTGAATTCGAAATCTGAAATGTGTTTCCTGTTTTCCGCACTTCTCACAGCTCGATGACATCGTCGTTAGGTTCGATGACGCCCACATGTTTGCAGCAAAGGGACAGCTATCCATATATGTTTCACGATCCTCTGTCCCTGGGATCTCCCTATGCAGCCCATCCTCGGAACCCCGCCTGTAATCCAGCGGCCGCCCATCAACAGCCACCACAGCATGGAGCTTATGGCAACGGCTCAGCTGTTGGCTCAGCCAATACAGGTATTATTCTATGTCTATATATTCAATGGGACTTCAAATGCACTAAATAGCACTTAAAGCTAACGAGGGGATTAGAAAGCTATTCGATTAGCTGCAGAGGGCTTAGTCGTAAGTCCGACCTCGATCAATGTGAACGACTCAGATTGAATGCTTACTTTCGTTTAACCGCATCTGAATCGGAATTTATTTATATATTTGATACATTTAGTATGTCTGTTAAAATAGGTGATATGGTATGATATAGCACCACTTTAGCTATGCTCCCAGCCCACTCACCAATCGAACTCATTCCTCTTGCAGGTGTAATATCCGCTGGCGTTTCGGTTCCTGTGCAAATATCGACGCAGAATGTCTCCGACTTGGCAGGCGGCAATTACTGGCCGCGGCTTCAGTGATCTTCAATATTTAATTTGCAGAGTGAACTGCTGTCGAAAGCCGCAGCAGCGGCCGTTGTGGCCGTCGCACACGCTGTCGAGGAAACAGTTGGTAGTGCCAACGGCAACGGCAGCAAATCGTCAATGGATATCCCACCAATGCTATTGCCACAAATAGTACCAACAGTATCACCATCATCATTAGCATTAGCATCATCAGAAGCATCAACCACTACAGTATCTGCATCAGCATCGCCATCATCATTATATTTCAACTTGGCTGAAACACCGGCAATCAGTCAAAAGTTCACAGCACCTACAGCACCGTCCGTAATATCCCCTGTCCCTTCCGGTACAGCCACAACGTGTATTCAATCCACCCATTCAAGTAGTTCCCCTATCCTTCAACATTCTTTCCATCAGACGTCAATGTATGGTCATCTTCTCTTATAAGCGCCCAATCTAGGAAACCTGAATCTGAATCTGAAAATGCGAATCATTAAGTAAATAAACATAATATACATAATTTTGTTACATATAAATATTATAAATATTATTTAATTTAATTAATGCTCATATCATTGAAAGCAGATCATTATCGGATCGATAGTGGAGAAACATGTGAACCAAAGGAAATTCAATAGGGAGAGCATAAAAAAAGTCTTAATTTATATTCAATTTAATTACCAAATTATATATATGTGTATACATATATATAGTCGAAATACAAATGTAAATACCAATTAAATTAATCTAGTATTAACTAATTTCCTTGAAATGAATTTAAAAGTTGAAATGCACACCAAATTCGAATTATTTATTCTTTATTATACCCTGAACCCATTGAAAATGGGAAATCAGGGTATAATGGTTTT